TATCCATTCAAAAAGGTATTCTTTAGATTATCCACTCAAGAAGGTCTTCTTTAAGTTATCCACTCAAAAAGGTCTTCTTTAAGTTATCCACTCAAAAAGGTCTTCTTTAAGTTATCCACTCAAGAAGGTTCTCTTTAAGTTATCCACTCAAAAAGGTCTTCTTTAAGCTATCCACTCAAAAAGGTCTTCTTTAAGTTATCCACTCGAAAAGGTCTTCTTTAAGTTATCCACTCGAAAAGATCTTCTTTAAGTTATCCACTCAAAAAGGTCTTCTTTAAGTTATCCAAAAGTCTTCTTTAAATAATCCACTCAAGAAGGTCTTCTTTTAGTTATCCACTCAAAAATGTCTTCTTTAAGTTATCCACTCGAAAAGGTCTTCTTTAAGTAATCCACTCAAACAGGTCTTCTTTAACTTATCCATTCAAAAAGGTCTTCTTTATGTAATCCACTCAAAAAGGTCTTCTTTAAGTTATCCACTCAAAAGGTCTTAAAGTTATCCACTCAAAAAGGTCTTCTTTAAGTTATCCACTCAAAAGGTCTTAAAGTTATCCATTCTTACATCTTTACAGTAAGCTCCTTTTCTGATATCACATCTTTAAGTTGTTGGCCCTTTGTTCAAACTTGGCTGTTTTACTACTAGTAAATTGTTTTGATCAGATATCACTGCTTTTTTTTTCACAAGGAACATCACTTATTTCTGTTGCTTTACAGAACGTATACGTGCTTGTGGCAGTGGTCTAGATGGGAACGTGTACGTGTCCATGGCAGTGGAAGTTGTGTGCTTGTTTTGTTGTTAAGCACAAAGCTACACAATTGTCTATCTCTGCTCTCCCCACCATGGGTACTGAAACCCAGTTTTTACTGCCTTCAGATTTAATACAACTAAAATCATGTTTTTCTATTATCTCTCCTTATCATAAAGCTAAACATTTTCTTTAGGATTTCAAGATAGTTTCCAACAGTTCACAGTGTTAGTTTAAGTAGCACACATGAACTATAAAAATAATGTTAATTACATGTAATTCATCCAGCCATTATTGTTTCTAGACCAATGAGCTGTTGTAACATCAAAAGTTGTGACGCAATCTCAGTTGTAAAGTATGAATACAATTCATTTATGTATGATTATTGGTGTACTGATTTGTGTTATTTTTTCCCTATATCATCAAAGGATATGTATAACCAGCAATATGTAGAAAAAGTGGTTAGACCAGAAATCAGCACGACGTCTCCCACACAAACTATTTACTTCTACAATAAGAAGATCAAGTACATCTGGCAGCAAGACTTCCTCCATTTTGTCAAGCTTGGGTAAGTCTGAACTTACTGTTATGTAGATTATCAAATTTCTAGATATATATTGTTTAATAAAACAATACCAAAACAAGTTTCCCATACTTTATAAGCTATCCAAACGAGAACTGAAAACAATCTTAATGAATTTTAACATTTCAGTGAAATTTATAGCTGGCCATGTTCAGATTGATTTGTTACAATTAACATTGTTTTTGAAGTTATATGGGATTGATGTTTTTTCATTGTTTTAACTATGAAACTTAATTTCATTATTAACAAGGTTTTAATAAATATTCACCATCACCTCACGATTTATATTACAACATGTTGCTTGAAATAAAATAGATTAGAAATTAATATATTATTTAACAATTTATTGATTTCGACACCAGAAACCATAATTCAATCTACTGGAAACCAAGCAGAAGTTTTCAAGTAGTGACTAGGCCTTCATACTAACAGGTCTTGCATCAGTTTATCAACAGTATGGTGCAGTCTCTCTGTTAAGACACAGTACCATTACCATCATACTAACAGGTCCTGCATCAGTTTAATGTCAGTTTTTTGTAGTTTCTATCGCAAGACACGGTATAGGGTTCGTATGTGTTCTTAAAAACCTGGAAAGTCCTGGAAACCACTTTAACAAAATTCAGTCCTGGAATACCCTGGAAAAAAAGGGCACTTTATTATAAGGTTGTAAATAGTCGTGGATTTTTTAAATGGGTCCTTTTTTATTCACTTGTTCATTCCCCATTTTTAAACCCCAGTTTCCACAAATCTATCGGATATGACCTAACTCAATTTGTTCGTGTTTTTGGATTGGCTCACTGCCTTGTCAGTCAATTATATTCTTGTTTGTTTGCAGTTAAGCGTAAAGCTACGCAGTCGGCTATCTCTGTTGTGCCCATTACAGGTATAGAAACCCAGTTTTTAACGTTATAAGTCCGTAGACTTGGTTTTTTTTATCCTTTGATGTTCATTGTTCGCCAGAATTGGCGGGTGAAGTTTTGGCTGCTGCTTAATGACAGTTTAATTAGCAATATGCACTGTCGTCAAAACGTTTTAAATTCACTCACCAATGTAAGGTAAGTGGCATTTTAATTACGAATAACCAGGGGTCGCGTTTCCCCAGAATTCTGTGTTATATACTCAGAAAATTTCATTAAAATGCAAGAAATATACATTTGGTTTCTAAAACATATAGGTAACGAGATTTAGGGGTTCATTCAAGTGATTTATTGTTAATGAAATATAAAACATTCCATGCATTCTCTTAACAAAAGAGGCCTGTGTGTACAGTACTGTGCAAAAGTGTCAGGACGAAGTCAAAAAGTAGATTTCAGGCTGCTTTCAAAGAACAATGGAAGGTAAATCACAGTTGATACATCCACATTTTATCAATCTTCATATTTAGTACAACAGAAACTCAGTGGAAGTGCTTGAGTTCAGCAAACAGTTAATATTATATGTATTCCCGTTTGCTTTAATAACTGCAGACAGTCTTTCAGGCATTGTTGCAACATATTTAATCAAAGTATCCTTTGGGATTTTACTCAAGATGTCCCTAATACACTCTTATAAAGTTTCTTTGGAAGTAACTTTTGATTTGTCAAGTTTTTTTATCTATAAAATCCCAGATCTGCTCCATTGGGTTGGATCAGGTCTCTCTGGGAGCCATTACATCACTTGAATGACTCCAACAGCTTCTTTCTTAGCTAAGTCATTTTTGCATAGGCTGGATGAGTGTTTGGGGTCATTATCTTCTTGGTAGTAGAATCCTTTACCAATAATACACAATCCACTGGGTATACCATGACGGATCAGTATCTGATGGTACATGCTCTGGTCCATTATACCATATATTTTGCAAATATCTCCTGTTGCCTCAGCAGGAAAACATCCCCAAACCATCACACTGCCTCCCCCATGCTTCATGGTAGGTGCTATGCATTGAGGTAAGTATATTTCACCTTTCTTTCGCCGGACGTACAACCTACGCTTTGAACCAAATATTTCAAACTTGGACTCATCCGTCCATAACACCCTTTTCTAATAATCAACAGTCCAGTTTTTGTACCTTTTAGCAAATTTCAGTCTCTTGACAATATTTGGAGATCAAAGTAAAGGTTTTTTAACTGCTACACAACCAAATATTCCATTCTCGTTTAGTCTTATTGATGCTTTAGATCTGGACACTTTTCTGTCATTTGGTACATTGGTCGTTTATCTCATGCTTGAGATCAGTGCATAAACGAAGATACTTAACATCGGTATCATTGAGTTTAGGTGTTCTGCCTCTTCCTTTCCTATTTTCAAATCTACCTGTCTCGGTCTCACGATCTAGGGTGTACTTGACAGTGTTTGGGGAAGCATTTCAAGTCTGCAGCAATTTTTCGGATAGTCCAATCAGCATCATCTAAAGCTTTTATGCGAACTTTCTGCTCTACTGACAATTCTCTACGTTTTTTGGGCCGTGGCGTGACAACAAAACTTAATATATAGTATTAAACACTGTTTTTTTTATCAAGGTGTATTTGTGGAGTGCTATTAAATTGATTTATTCTAGCATATACCGGTACCATATGGTAGCTTCTTTCTACATAGTTAAGACACTGCATGGGGTACCTTGACAGTTATTTCAAACCCTAAATTTGATCAGTATGTTCATTCCAGCAGGACACTTATGACATACCCTTGGTACAAGTATATGGGAATTCTAATGAATGATAAGTATTCTCACCCTGGCTCATTCAATTGTCAACAGGGGTCAGTGAAGCATTACCATAGTGTTGAAATTTACATTCTGTAATGGTATGGAAGAATTAACCCCATAAAATGGAAAGAATAACAAAATATTCTCTTGTCCTAACACTTTTACACAGTACTGTATATATATTCAAAAATCATAAGATTGAAACCTTTTACTGAACATGCTCGTCCTTTCTGCCACGAAGGTGTTATAATGTGGCACTCAATCCCAGTATTAATTGGTCGACAGTGGCAGATAGCTGTAATAGCTTTGTCATAAAGAAAGTTTCAAGTTTTCTTCTAGTTTTAAATGGGTAGCCAGATGGATGGTTTGTTGTTCACTATTCTAGCCATTCACTCTGGAAGTGATTTTGAACTGAGCTTGGCACATTTCCATCAGTCTGTTGGTTTCTTTGGCCGATGTTGAACTGGCCAGCCAAATTCTGGAACTGTATTTGATATTATCATGGTTGGAGTAGTCTAGGAAAGTCATTCAGTATCAAGAGTTATAGAAGAAATGGTAATCAGTGTAGACCAAATAAGATCTCCTATTCCATATTCCGTAGCAGATATTCCTGGCTAATTTAATCTGTACATTTAATAGTTTGTTCTCCTGATGTTTAATTCTGTCACAGATGATGTTCTCTTCAACCTCAACGATGATCTTTTTGTACTTCATTCATATCGTTTCGTACTTCGATTTTGCCTTCGTCAGTTTGTCATTATAGCTTATTCATACTTCTTCAACCATATTGTTGTAATCACTCTTTAAATATTCAATAGTTTCAGAGATTTTTTTCTTCATTCAGATATATTTTTGAATTTAATTTTTCCTTAAATAATGTCTATGCCTTTTAACTCTTTTCTTAAATTCCTGTCATTTTCTTCTGATTTTCTGTCTCCTTTTTGGCCTCTTTTAATATTGGGTAGATTTGTTCGTGTTCTTTAAATTCTCTGCCTCGTTCTTCCTGGTCTAGTTTTAATTTTCTATCTCGTTCTTCTAATTTTCTGCCCTTTATTCTTACCATTGTATATTATGTTTAGCAGGCTTACAATTCTATTGTATTTTCACTAAAATACATACTACCCTTCTGACACTAGCGTTGTCATGTAATTCTTTCGTAGGCTGGTTCTTTTATTTGGTTAAAATATTTAAACGTCCAGTCCACCTAAGTAACAATAGAAAATTGCTTTATTTCCTTCCTTCTTTTAACTTTTCTACAAACTCGAACACTTGTTATGCAGAAAATTTCCTGTAGACCTATGTGACAGGTTACGTTAACCTAACGACTGAGTAACGTAAAACAAATCAACTTACTTGCGGCTCTCTCTACTAACTTATAAATTACAATGTGGAAAATATAGCTAATAATAATATAAGAACTGCACACATATTGAACATTGTGCTAGTTTCTTAATGTAAACAATCGATTATTAACAATTCACACCGATAACAACTTAGTATATGCATAAGATGTGAACACATTAAACATTGTTCTAGTTTCTTAATGTAAACAATCGATTATTAACAATTCACACCGATAACAACTTAGTATATGCATAAGATGTGAACACATTAAACATTGTTCTAGTTTCTTAATGTAAACAATCGATTATTAACAATTCACACCGATAACAACTTAGTATATGCATAAAAAGTGAACACATTAAACATTGTTCTAGTTTCTTAATGTAAACAATCGATTATTAACAATTCACACCGATAACAACTTAGTATATGCATAAGATGTGAACACATTGGACATTGTTTTGGTTTCTTAATGTAAACAATCGATTATTAACAATTTACACCGATAACAACTTAGTATATGCATAAGATGTGAACACATTAAACATTGTTCTAGTTTCTTTAATGTAAACAATCGATTATTAACAATTCACACCGATAACAACTTAGTATATGCATAAGATGTGAACACATTAAACATTGTTCTAGTTTCTTTATGTAAACAATCGATTATTAACAATTCACACCGATAACAACTTAGTATATGCATAAGATGTGAACACATTGGACATTGTTTTGGTTTCTTAATGTAAACAATCGATTATTAACAATTCACACCGATAACAACTTAGTATATGCATAAGATGTGAACACATTAAACATTGTTCTAGTTTCTTAATGTAAACAATCGGCCATTGAAAATTCACAAGGATAAAAACTTTTTATATACATACGAAGTGAGAACATATTGAACGTTATGCTTGATCCTTAACATTTAACTGATTAGGAAATTGGAGATAATGTTACAGAATTACGTTTTCTGGGTGTACATGTCAATATTGTTCAAGGGATAAATTTTGTTTTTTAGTATTTTAGCTGTTGAAAACTCTCTTTGATGCACACTAACATAAGCCAAATTTTGTCATGAGTACCCAATCAGATAAGAATAAATCAATCAACCCTTTCCGAGTTAACCAGCGTTATTAAATAAACAGCTTTCTGGTGTTTATAAAGATGTCTCTTGGCTTATAAAAAACTTATGTAGGAAGGAACTTTCATCGAGGACATGTTGATGTTGTAATATGGTACATATCAGTAAATCAGTGACCTTAGGATCAGTATTTTTACCCATTGCCTTATATGGAAATGTATTTTTTATCTTTGACTTTTCTATATTTTCATGTTCCAAATCAAGCTATATTAATATATTTGTTTATACTTTAAACATACACCT